AACTTGTCTGTTTGCCTGACAGAAGACTCCCATAGTCTGACCCACCTGGTTTTGTTTTACCTAAACCACAGCGTTCTTGCCTCTCTGCATTGGTTCGTGTAATTCTCCTATGTCACTTTCGCCATTTCTCTTCATTCCATGTAGTGACATTTTCGCTTCTGTCATCCATTCATCCTCTCCACAAACATTTACTGAGCACTCACTACTTGACAAGGACTGTGCCTTCAAAGGAGCTCACAATCTATCCGGGTAGACTGACCTATGACAACTAATTGTATCTCAATGGAATAAAGCCCTAGTTGTGCTATGTATCAAGTATTATGAAGACATAGAGAAGAAAAGCATGAACTTCATGAGTCAAGGAAGGTTTAACTTAGGAGGTAATATTTGATCTTGGTTTTGAAGGATGAAAAGATGTTCCACAGGTATAAAAGAGAAAGGGTGGCACCTGGGTGATGCAGTCAGTTAAGCGTCCAACTCTTGGTTGGGCTCAGGTCATGATCTAAGGGTTGAGAGATCAAGCCCCATGTCAGGTTCTATGCTCAAAGCAGGGTCTGCCTAAGACTCTCTCTTCCTCTCCCCCTCCCCGCCAGGGTCTCTCTCTCTCTCTCAAATAAATAAATAAATTTTTAAAAGAGAAAGCTATCCCAGTCAGAGGAAATAGCATGTGCTGAATCCCACCTAGCTTACATTTCCATTCTATTGGACTTTTATAGTTTCTACTTACATCATGCACCTCACAATTTTAGTACTTATGGTGTAAAATGTATAATTTATAATCACATTAGATGTCTCAGACTACAAACTTCTTGACCAGCCAGTTCATATACTTCATTTGTATTCTCCTTGAACCTTAGCTATGTGGTATCACTGGGTACATAGTAAGGACCACAAAGATGTTGACAGGTTAACCTGGTAATCTATCAACATTTATGGATTCCTTATTTTTTTGTTCAGGGGTTCCAACAAAACTTTATTAGGACACTAAAATTTGGATTTCATATAATTTTCATCAATAATGAACTATTGTTCTTTTGATTTTTAAAAGACTTAATTTTTTTAGAGCAGCTTTAGGTTCAGAGCAAAATTGAGGGAAGGTACAGAGATTCTTCCACATATACTTTGTCCCCACACATGCACAGCCTCCCCTATAATCCATATTGAGTGGTACATTAGTTACAATTGATAAACCTACTTTGATACATCATCATCACCCAAAGTCCATACTTTACATTACAGTTCACTCTTGGTGTTGTATATTCCAAGAGTTTAGACAAATGTATAGTGAGATGTGTATCTATTATTATGGCATCATACAGCACATTTTCAGTGCCCTAAAAATCCTCTGTGTTCTGCCTGTTCAGTCCTCCTCACTCCAACACACACACACACACACACACACACACACACACACACAAACTCACTCCTTAGTTTTTATGTATAAGGGAAGGAAACTAGTATTTATTGTAGTAAACTGTTGACTACATGCTAGGTTCTGTGTTAAAAGCTTTACACATGTTCCTTCATTTAGAGAGATTAATCAGGCAGTGGGCTGTTTTGGAAGATGAAGTTATTGGGGAAAGGGAGACAAACATAGACCTCAATGTAGCAAACCAGAAATGATGGAAGAGGATCCCTCTAATGGAATTTGATCACTTGCTATGTACTAAGGCGGATGGAAAGAGAAGACGTATTTTGCACCTGAAGCCTCTCTTTCATAAGCTCCCACCAAGTACATATCCCACTCGGTAGCAATGATGTCTATACTTTGCTGACTGTGCTAAGCTGGGATTCATTAGAAACTTCACCTTAAAAGGAGCAGTGTGTGACAATGAAAAGAGCATGAGCTTCAGAGTCCAGTGAAACTCCCCACCCCGGTTTTCCATGTTACTAGCTGTGTCACATTAGGCAAGTTTCTTAAACCCTTGAAGCCTTAATTTCCTTGTCTGTAAAACAGATACAATAGTAACTACCTCATAAAATTATGTTATCAGTTGCAAAATACCTAGCATACAGAAATGCTCTAAAAACCTTCCTCTCTGGCCCTCCCCCTCTTCCTACGTACAACCGATTAAAACTGAAGAAGTTGAAAGTACCAGATATGACCAATAAGTAAAAAGTGCTTTTCTTTGGCAACATCCTTTATTACAGAAATTTTGTTTCCTCAAATGTCAACTCTTGCTGATGTCATAGTGTTAGCTGTTCAACATACTCTTGGAAGGCTAGCACTGTTTATAGATGATTCAGTTTGCAAATTTAGAAAGCAAATCCAGGTGGAGAAATTGTCACACGTTTTCTAAAATTCAGAACTCCTTTGTTTCTATTCTTTTGTATTAAGTCACTAGACTACTTTTTCTTTAAGGCAGAGCATGAAGCATTTTGTACACACCGAAATTAACTATTCTCTTTCTTAGTTTCAGCCAGAAGGACATTTATTACATGTTCTACAAAGTCATATTCAGCTTTCCAAACTGAGAAATATTTAAGGGATTTCATTATATTTGGGGAAATTTTCATCATCAGAGATTTAACAGCTACCAAGAAAGAACTCCACAATTAATCTTTTATAACATGAGTGTGACTTGTAATCTCCACACTAAGAAAAAAAATTACTAAGTATAGGGGAAAACTCTTCATAAACTATAATATTTCTTGGCAAAGAAAAACTGCTTTATGATTTTTAAGATATGTTTGAGGATTTAAATGAAACGTACATGTTTGAAATTAGGGCCAGATGCAACACAATTCAAGTCCAATTCACTAGCTGCATCACATTTACTGTGATTTAGTAAAAGGCATTCAATAATTCTATGTTTCATAGAAATCTCACAAATACAAGTATTTCATTCATAAAGGGCATGGTTTGGCAGGTTTCCAGGGCAGGAATTTGCTGGAGGAGAGGTAAATTTATTGATTAAAATAAATCAAATGACTGACATTTCCCCCAGAAAACTGGCAAAACAATGATATTCGGAGACTGGAAGTCTTACAACCAGAACCAGAAGAAAATTTTGAGCTATTTACATTTATTTACATTTATTATAGGAATCCTATAATATGATAGAGCAAACAATCAGACATTTGAGAATTCTCAAATTTTAAAATACATATTTTTGGAGTGGGACATTCTAAAACCTTTAATATGAAGTCTGGTGTTTGTAGCTCTTTGGATTAGTTATAATTATATTCCTCCTCTGTCCTTTGTACCTTTATATGCACTGAGTAATGAGTACTCTGATGGAATATGTGCAGAAACAGTTCTTAAACAGGTCAACATCACTCAGCTCCTACCCTGTGTCTCAGTGCTTCCCCCTCTGTGCTCTCTTTTCCACTCTGGTCACACTTCCACCAACAGCATTTGTTATGAACTGAATGTTTATGTACCCCCAAATTGCTGTGTTGAAACTCTAACCCACAGTGTGGCTACATTCGGACATGGGGCCTCTAAGGAATTAATTAAGGTTATATGGGGTCATAAGGGTGGGGCCCTGATCCTCTAGGATTAGTGTCCTTATGAGAAGAGGCACCACATAGCTTTCTCCTGTGCACACACGTCCTTTCTCTACAAACACATCAGGAAGAGATCCTGTGAGCACACAGCAAGATGACTCCTGCCTACAAGCCAAGAGAAGAGGCTCCCGAATGAAACCTACCTGCCAGCACCTTGATCTTAGACTTTCCAATCTTTAGAACTGTGTGAAATTAATTTCTGTTGTTTAAGCCACCCCGCCTGTGGTATTTTGTTATGGTAGCGTGAGCAGACTAAGACAGTAATTAAGAGGCCCAAATGCAACAGCCATAGTAGCACTTTTATACACATCCTTTCTTTAACTGCCTGACTTGTTAAAGATTTGGATTGGGGGAAAACGTTATTGAGACCTGGACACAATTGGCCAGGAGAGTTTCACACAGATCCTGAAATCACTCAGACCTGCTTCTATTCTAGAATCAGAGAAGGTCAGCAGAAGGGCTTGAGCGACCCAAGCTTGTCAATTCAGGTTTTATTATGATTCTGGGGTTACAGGAAACTATGCCATACACCTGGCATATCCTTCTGGAAGACACTGGGAGTGAGGTAACAGATAGTTACCTAGAAAGCTTAAACATCTGTTTACACTAAATCATGATATATTAGAGTGCAATGCAAAATTCTTATACATTTTTAAGAGTGCTTCAAAGAAAGGCGTTATAGATAATGTTAACAACAGTAACAAATAGCTAAGACTTAAAATTACTGTGGGCTAGATAATGTGTTAAGGACTTTATGTGTATTTTCTTTCATCATCCTCATGAAAACAGGAAAGTCGTCTTATCATCATTACAGAGCACTATTTCGGAAAGTGGAAGCATTTCTAAAATAGCCCGCACTCTCATCACTATCACATTATTCTGCTTTGTATTCTTCATAGCACCTTCTTTTTTCTTTTTTTCCTTACTTATTTTCCATGCTCCCCCAACCCCCTCCTCGGGGCCTGAACCAGTGGCTGTCACGGAAAAGGGGCTCAATAAGCTTTTAGTCAAGGCCACACATCTGGTCAGTGTAGCAGATGGTAAGCACCAGGAGAGCAGGAGTTGGGACTGTTTTCCGCTAAGCAGAGGCTGGCAGGGTGCCTGCTCAATACAGAAGGAAAAAAGAAAGGAAGGAGGAAGGGAGGAAAGAGGGAGCGAGGGGGAAAAGGCTGAATGAATGGAAATGTTCCCTTAAGAGCCTAGAGAGCATCTACCGCAAACCTCCCTCCTAGGAGGAATGAACTCAGTTCGAGGTCTAAGCCAGCAGTTTCCTCATTCCCCAAACCAGCGAGCAGCAGGGAATGGGGAAAAGAACAAAGCCTTTAAAAACGTCCAGAAGAAAGGGAGAAACGGTGAGAGAAAAGAAGCAGAAAGAAACGAATCCGGCGCTGTAAACAGATCTGAAAACGAGCTAAGCCCGGCCGGTTGCCAGGACGACCCGAGGCCAGAACGGCTCCAGTCCATTGGCTGAGATGCCGGAGCCAATGGGAAGGCGCGGTGTTGGCGGGGTCTTAAGATGGCTGCCGGGCGGCCGGCTCCTGAAGGGTGAGTACCGCGGATTGCGGGGCTGCTTCCCGGCCGCCCCGAGCTCCGATTTGACGGGTCCGGGAGGGCCGGGTGCGGGGGGCCAGCGAGCAGGTGTGGGCGGCCTCACAACCTCACGGCTGCGCCAGCGAAGCCCCCGGCCGGGCCCACGGGAGCGTTCGTGGGGCTGGCCTCCGCTTTGCTTGGAAGGGACGTAGCGCCTTCCCGAGCCTGTTGGTGGGAGAGGGGTTCTCCGTCCCCGCCCCGGCCAAAGTGAGAGGGTGAAGAGGCTTTCTATCGGGGAAACAGGCTCTTGTTTACAACTGCTGTAGCCCGGGGAAGAGCTGCAGTTAATGGGAACGTCAGCGGGCTAGACGTCCTGCACCCGAATCTGCGGCGCTTAGTTCTGTGCCCGGGACGGGATTCTTCCCGTTTGGGGATCGGAGTGTGGCAAGGCCGTCGGCGAGCCTGCCGAGTTCCGGGTCCTGCAGCCCAGCAGGAAGAGGTGTACCTTTCTAGAGCCACCCTTTTGCAGTCTTGAACCTTGTAAGTATTCTCAGCGGCATCCGACTTAAAATGAGCCTCGAAATGTTATTGGTTAACTGTAAATCTTTCCATGCAGGGTCTTGGGACGTGTTTTCCAGGCCTTGACGAAACAAATACCGTCTTTTTATTGGAACATATGCATACATACAACATCCTGCCAAATAAATGGTTTGGGTAATCAGACAGGGAACTTAAATTCGAAGTCAGGCCTCTGATTCAGTTGTACTTTATCTTTTTGAGAAAAGACAACGTATTTCATGAATGGGACCTTTACATTAGCGTTCATGAGATGTGCTTAAAAGCATTTTAGTAAAGTAATTCCGAGTCATGGAAACGGATTATTGTGTAAATTATTTAACATGATGGTGGGTGGTGGTTTATGATTATTACACAAGTTAAGATTAAATTCAGATCGGACAAAATTCAGGTTTCTGTGATTATTCTAATTGAATAGAAAATATGGGAAATAAGGCAGCTTTGTATGGTGAAAATAGAATTGAAATTCTGGAATATTAGAGACGGGAGACATTTACCCATTAAACTGCTCAGATTGGGTTTTGGTTATAAGCAGTCGCCTGATCTTCCAGAAAATGTGACATTATTACCCAAACCTCTGAATGTGATTTTTATGTACACATTTTAGTATAGCATCTTACATAAGTTTCTGCTTTGAAAGAGTAAAACAGATTTTTTTTCTTAAGCAAATTTTAACAAAATTACAGGCTAGAGTCATTCTTTAGACCCACTCTCAAATCTTTGTCTCCACGAATATATTACTACTTAAATTGCATCCTCTAAAAGTTTCTAAGTTGAAGCCCTAGAGTTCTGCTTTTGTAAAATAAGCATATCACAATGCCTTAGGCAAGTCAGTTACCTCACCTGTAAAAGAGGTTTAGATAGTAATTTCTAGTGGAAGGGTTGTTGTAGGGATTAATGGTAAAAGAATTTCTGTCACATTGTTTGTATGTGACATTGTTTATATGCCATACACATCATTGAGTTGCTTTGTTTTTCTTTCTGGTTCTGTTTCTTCTCTGTAACTGGGGTCTCCTTTGCTTTCTCTAGAGCACCTTTCAGGTGTTTTGTCTGACATGCAGTCTTACTGAAAACTGGAAATCTTGGCCGTGGTGGCGGGGTTGAGGAGAGAAGCCTTATCCACTGGGGTATCAGGGTTTAATCAGTATTGCATCTGACTGGTATATCACATCTCTTGAGAATGGCTGAATAATTTTCACATTTAAAGGGTAATTTAGAATGATTTGCTTTAGAATAAAGGCATGGGGTGAGAGACATTTCAAAGAATTAGAGAATCATCTTTAAGAGCAGCCAAAACAGGAGTAAGCACCAGGCCTAACCTAGTACCAGTTGGTACCATAGTACAATTGGAAATGTATGAGTGACATGTATATACTATGAATTCAAAGACAGTGTTTTCAAACATGAGCCCAAAGCAAGTCACAGAGCAGCCACTCCATATTGGCTGGTTTACAGTTGAGCTGCTGCTTCCGTGGGCAGCTCCACTTTGCAGTCTTCTCGGTGAGTTATCTGTGTTTATCAGTGGCCGTGGAGTTGCCCTTGTATATATTATGTATTTTTGCAGTCACAGGAGAATGGCACACCACTTTAAAGATGTTCAGGAACTGAGTTCAGAAACGTGTTATTTGAGTTTTGCCTTATTTTATGGATTTGGATGTAGAATCTAATTTCTAAAATTTATTTTAGTTCTTCTTTTTTCTGTGGGCACGCACAAGAAATTATCGTACCAGCCAATGTCATACTGAAGACAGGTCCAAAATGTGATCAAAAAATGCTTGAGAGCTGATGGGGAAAGGCAACTTCAGGGCACCCGAAAGTGCTCCCCAGAGTGAAGCACGTTTGGGTGCCCAAAGCAGAGACACACCCTGTAGGGATGCTGAAGGAGTGTGCTCCCGTGGGAGAACTGTGCTTGTCAGAGAGGCACATGCCTTTCATTAGCAGCCACAACTGAAGTCTGGGCCGAGTGGTACTTACTTGGCTGCTGATGGACAGACGCTTGCCATGAGTGTAGAGTGTCGGCTCCATGAGGTTAGATATTTTTGCCTGTCCTCATGTCTTAAAGAGTGCCTGGCACACAGTGGCCTTGCACAAGATGCTATGGACAGGGAAAAGAAACAGTGGTTTCAAACATAGAACCCCAGTTTTGCTAAGAATGCTGAATCTGAAATTTGTTACTGTCCTTAAGTTCTGAAATAGATAACGAGCCTAAAGGTATATATTGTGTCAGTGGCAAAGTCATGTTGGAGCTTATTATCATTCCCCCTCCATTTACTCCTCAGAACAGTTAAAATATTTTTACTGATGGCATAACATCTGTTTTTCAGTATTGGCATATTTCACATGATGTCTTTTGTGCTAACAAAGTATCTAAAGGTTACCCATTCCAACTGTTAAAATCCTCAGACCAGGTTTAGGGGTGGATCCAGGTTTTATGGGGCTTGGAGCTTATATAATTTTGGGTCTCCTCTTTAAGAAAAGGAATGCAAATTCTAAATAGAGAATTAGGTATAATGCTTTGGAAAGACTTGTGCAAGAGGAGCCTTGACACTTAGGCTCCATTATCTTCCTGCCTTTGGTTTTATTCCTCCATTCAGAAAACCAGACACCAGAAACTTAATGTTAGACTGTGGAAATCAGGGAGGTAAATGAGTTGCATCAATTGCTAAGTGAATGCACCTCAACCTTAGAAACTTCAAAACTACCCTGTGAATGCTGTTACCCATAATAGAAATTATAAAAACATAATATGTGGCCATAGAAATACTAATAGCAAAAAGAGCTCAGCATCGATGAAGCCCCTAGAACCTCCTAAACATTGTGGTGAGTGTTTTCATAGCTTATCTCATTTAATTCTCAGAATAACCCTGTACACAATATGACTATCCTTGTATTACAGCAGAAAAAGCTGAGGGTCAGAGGTGGTAAAAATGATTTCCTCCCACTGCTAGTATATGGTGCGGTCAGGATTACAACTGGAGCAGGGAGATGTCAGAGCCCTTCTTCTTAACAAGCCAAAAGAGTATTTTGGTGAGGTTGTTTCGGAGGGCTAACAACTGTGGAAGCTGGACCCAAACTGCCAAAAATCAGATCTGATTCTTTGGACCTGGGAGGAGGTTCCTAAAGGTTATCTGGAATCCGTTATTCAGATTAATGCAAAATCCCGTGGCATCTTTGTCTCAGAGACAATGGTGGTGGTTTTCTCATTAGGTTAATCACAATAGGGGCCAGAAAACTCCGCAAAAACAGTTTCCATCCTTGCATTTTATTCCTTCAGGGTTGATGGTAAATCATGAGCAGTACAATCAACTTCTCTTTTTTAGGCATCTTTTTGTTTTAAAGATTTTATTTATTTATTTGACAGAGAGAGACAGAGAGAGAGGGAACACAAGCAGGGAGAGTGGGAGAGGGAGAAGCAGGTTTCCCGCTGAGCAGGGAGCCCGACGCGGGGCTCGATCCCAGGACCCTGGGATCATGACTTGAGCCAAAGGCAGCTGCTTAACCGACTGAGCCACCCAGGCGCCCCTTTTTAGGCATCTTTTGAATGAAGTGGTTTTGACTCAATATGTATGCCATGTGATTAATAGTGAAAATGTACTCAATTATCATAATTTTAGCAAATGATTATAACTCCAGTTTTTAAAAATAACTTTTGATAAACTTAACAGTAGTTAATATTCTTTCTACCAAGGGGCTATATAGCTAATGATAGATATTATTCTGAACTTTAACCTTAGTTTCCTAAACACAATATTGGTATTCAAAAAAGCTGTATGTTTTTGTTCAATTGTTAGGATTAACATTTAATACTCCATTTCTTATTATTTTAGCAAACAGTGTAAAATTTAAAACTAGGACATTCTTTTTACTGCCACGCTTTCCTCAAACTACTTGCACAGCCTAAAAATTTTCCTTTGAATAATTGTTTTCCTACTCCTTGGACAATAAGTCCCTTGAAAGTTCAATTCAATACCAGTGAAACATCTGACTCTCTTTTTTAATTGTGATAGCTTGAAATACAATATTATAAATCTTAAATTGTGTGAAATATATATTGTTAGGCTCTTAACATTCTTGAGCAATGAATGCTTTTACTGAATTTATTTTTTTTTTTAGACAAAATTATCTGTATATTAGAGAATCTAGGTCCTATCTTTCTTTAAGTCATTCACCTGTAGGTATGTCTTATAACAGACTTGCTTAAACTACTTTGTACTTTTTGAAAAATTTTATACAAAGATTTTAATTCTTTTAATATGGAAGGTACATCCCATTTTAGATTAAAAGAAAAAAGTCTAGATGGACTGTTCCCAAACCATTGGGATAATTACTAGACTCTTGGGGTTTTAAATTTCTTTCCGTGTCCACTTTACATGTCTGAATTCATCTTTTTTTCCCTTTAGAAGAAAAGATGTGGAGTGGGCTGCTACCTCCTGGCCTAAATGAAAGCGATATTGAGTTGAATTCTGAAGATGAAGCCCCATTAGAGAACTCTGGATTTAACTTACAGGAAGATAAAGAAGATGGGGCCATTACAGAAACAGAGGTCTCAGATTTCCCAACTGATGGACCAAAGCCTGGAGTAGAGGCAAATGTAAATGCATATGAAGAATGCCCCTCTGGAATTCCCTTAACTATGTGGCATGTAGGTTTTCTCTGATGTGTTCTTATTAAAGCCTGTGTGCATGTGTGTTTGTGCATGCTCCTGTGTCTGCCATGGTCAGAATGCCTGTTCTTGGGAAGTAATAGGGAAGATTGACTCAATACTCTGGGTCTGTGGTCAACCCATTGGGCACTTAGATGCTTGCTTTCATCTTTGTGTTGTTTTTTATAAAGAGAGGAAGAAAAACATTTGATAGGATTAGCTACTTTGGTTAACATAATACATTAATTTGATCTCTTTGTCGTCTGTATGAGTCACTGAATTTTACTCTCAGATAATCAGATTGACTTATGTCGAAATAAATGAAGGTAAAAACTCAGGTTGTGAAAGAGTCTTAGAAAATAGAGTATCTCAAGAAGAACTGAACTACTTTTGTTAAATTTGTGTTTTTATAAATGCTAGAATATATTTTTATTACTTAACATGTTATTTTTTGAATGTATGCTTTGCTTCAAAATATATTTACTACTTTTTCTTTTTTTTTTTACTTTTATATAGAAATTTCAAGAATTGCATAAAAAACATTCTGAACAGAAAACCTCAACTTCAGGATTCAGAGGGAAAAAAAGAAAACGCTCCAGGAAAGGTGTTTTGTTTTAATTCAAGTTGTCAATAGTGCTGATGTTAAATTGTGACTAATTGAGCTCAACAGTTTTTAATAAGCATTAATTTTGAAATAACAAATGAATACTCAGGTATTGACACTTTGTGAATTCTTTTCAGGTAAATTGAAGAATGAAGAAGATTCTCATAGGTAGGTGGAATTTAAAATATTTGTTCCAGACAATATTGTAAAACTTGTACCAGTAGTTGAACTACTTATCTCTGAAACATAAGAACTAGTTTTTGTGATTTGTAATTGTAATAACCAATTAAAAACACTAAAAATAAGTTATCGTCTGTCTTGCAGTGAACAGACCTCAAGTGAAACCCAATGGAAGGAGCTTACTCAGTATTTTGGAATCAATGATAGGTTTGACCCCCCTGTTAAAAAGAAAAAAATTGACAAGGTAAGATCTTTTTTTATCGCATCTTATATTAGCCAGTAGAAAATGTTTGTAATTAGCCTTACCTAAGGTATTCTCCTCATTAATTAATTCAGTGAAAAAGTTAAAATGTCTACTGTATGTGAAACAAGATGCTAGGTAAACAAGTAAATATATAGTTACAAATCATTAAAAAAATGGCATTAAGGAAATGAACAGGATGTTGTGAAGAAATTAAAATGGAGGCCTCACTTTAGTTTAGGTGGTCAGGGAGGGCCTTTCTTGGAAGATGCCACTTCAGTGAGACCTGAAGGATGGGAAGGAACCATCTATATACAGAATGCTCATGTAGAGGTACTAACCTGGGTAAAGGTCCTGGGGAAAATGAGTTATCATGGGACATTTGAGTAACTGTAAGAATGTCAGCCTGGCTGGAATGGAGTCAACAAGGAGGAGAGTGGGCCAGGATAGGATCAGAGAGGCAGGCAGCCAGGGACCAAACTATGAAGGACCTGAAGTGGCAGAATAAGGAATTGGGTTTTAGTTACAATGTAGTTGAGAGTCATTCAAGGGTTTTAAGTTAAGGGAATGATATGATCGAAGTTATGTTTATAAAGATTGCTCTTGTGTGGAGAATGGGCGAAAAAACAGCAGCAAAAGTAGACAAGAAGAGAACAGTTAAGAGACTCTTCTAGGCTCAAGAGGTGGTGACTTGAACAAGAATGATGCTGCTGAAGATGGAGAAAAGTGGATGGATCTGGGGTCTATTGTAGGAGGAGAATGGACAGTATTTGCCTCTGATGCTTTGTGAAGTGATGGAGAGGATTTGGGGAATGAGGAGGGGAAGAGAACCATTCCAGGTTTTACCTTCAGCAGTGGTGTGAATAGTGATGCTAGGTACGAAGATGGGAAGGCTGGGGGGGTGGTGGGGGAGAAGATTTAGAGTGGGTCTGTCCAAAGTTCATTTGGGGCATGCGTAACATCAGTGGGCAGGAGTAGAGAGATAGTTGGTAAAATGAGGCAGGAACCCAGAGGAGAATCTGAGCTGGAGATGTCATCAGTCTATAGATGATGTGAATATTTAGTAGAGTCTTGAATGAATTTGAGTAACTTACATATTAACATCAGGGAGTGTAGACTCCAGGAGCATGAAAATTGAGCACTGAGTGGTAGGGCTAGAGGCTCAGGAGCCTGCCTGGTTGAAGCCCAAGTATATTGTATCCTGCCTTTGTAGACAGATTCCTCCTTCAGGGATCATTTCTATAGACTGCTGTGTGTACATAGAGACCATTCTGATTAATCAATATTTCTTGTGAAACAAACCTCAGATATTAAACCCATCATCGGGTGTTATTGTGTCTTCGAGGGCATGTGCATTAAGGAACTGACAGAGTAGAATTTTGCATGTGAACCTTTTGATTCCAGTTTTGCTAAGAATTGTTGTCATTTAGTTCCTAGAGCACTGGGGAATTGGAACCAGCACCACTTTCTTTTCTTTTCTTTTTTTTTTTTAAACATTTATTTGAGAGAGAGCACGTATGTGCCTGGGGGGAGGGGCAGAGGGAGAGAGAGAATCTCAAGCAGACTCCCCACTGAGTGAGGAGCCTGATATGGGGCTCGATCCCAGGACCCTGAGATCATGACCTGAGCCAAAATCAAGAGTTGGACCCTTAACCGACTGAACCACCCAGGTGCCCCAACTAGGATCACTTTCTGCCATGCTAATTGCTGCTACTGAGCAATCTCTGTTTTACAAATGTTCAACAGGTGCAGAAATGCTTACATTCTTAACAAAAAAAGATCACTGGTAGAGTTGAAACTAAAACCCAGGCTTTATGACACCACGCTCTGTTCTCTAGCTTCACTGCACAAGGGCCGGTCAGCACTTTAAAATGCAGTTGCTATGCTCTTGACCTCTGTGATTCTGGTGGGCTGGCAGGAGGGATCTTGTGAGAAGGGTGCTCTGGACTGCAAAAACCTGTTCTAATGCATGAAGGGGAGTGGGCTGGTCTCTGGCCAACCTGCTGTAGAGTCCCCACTGCTGATTACATTGTTGTTTTGAGGGAAGGAATGGCTAAATATTGGTTCTTTTTTTTTTTTTTTTTAAGATTTTATTTATTTATTCATGAGAGACAGAGAG